GATTAACCGATTAATAATCGAGTGGCCAAAGGTTCCAAAGTTTGAAAAAAGTGGAAAAAAAAAAAAAAAAGCTTATAGAATTAGGGCAGAATTTAAAGTCCATCATGTCATGGTTCTTTTGAGGGAGATTATGGCTTTTAGTCTTTATTTTGGGAGCTCTGGGACTTGAGTAGTCAAATATTTTGCACTGAGGCGCTGTCATTTCCCCTTACATGACTCAGTGGATATCTAATATGTAATAACAATGCTAGAAGTCTAACGTTTTCCCCCTACTCTATTTCAGGGTTGCTCAAGCATACGTAAACCAACGCAAACTGGACCATGAGGTTAAGACCCTCCAAGTGCAGGCCAGCCAATTCTCTAAGCAAACTGCTCAGTGGATCAGCATGGTGGAGGGGTTCAATCAGGCCTTAAAGGTGAACTTTACTGCACATCCAATTGGGTTTGGACCAGAAGAATATTTAAATTTTTTTGTTTGTTTGTTTTAAATCTGCAGTCAGTACATCAGATAAATCAGTGGTTCTCCAACTTTTTCTATCATGTACCATGTACCAAAATATACACCATCCTGGCCTGGTTAGTTATGGTGAGCAAGGCAACTGGAAATGTTGACCATTTATCTAAAGTCAGACAAATTAATGCAAGTCTGGAAGAAAATCTACATTAACTTTTTTTCAAAAGGGAATAATGTGTATTCTAGATACATCTCCAATAAGGGTGGAGCATTTCCACATCAAAGCGGTATAAGGTGCACACCGGGACACAATTTGCCTTGAGAGTTAATGTGGTTTTGATGCAGGGATTGTAGGTTGCTCTAGATGCTAAAATTGGTTAGAAGTTGGAAAAGGTTACAAACCTGAAGCATGTCTTGCGTATCCTCTCTCTCACATAGGAAATTGGAGATGTTGAAAACTGGGCCCGCAGCATCGAGATGGACATGAGAACAATCGCCACAGCCCTGGAGTATGTACACAAAGGCCACCTTCAGTCTACCTGCTCGTAAACATCACACTGCGGTTCTACAGCACAATTACTACTGAAAAATATGGACAGATATAATTTCTCTGTTGTTTTTGATTATCTGATTCAGAAATGAGTTGCTGGTGATGTTACACTTTTTTTAAAGATATTTTTTTGTTTTGTGTAAGTTATATATTTTTTGCAAGACGATAATAAAAGATATTTAAATGTACGGATGGTTTAATCAACACAATAAATCTCCTTGTAAACTATTCTTTAAAGCATCTCTTTAAAACAATTAATCTAGATATTTGGGTTTTTCACTTAACCTGTCCTGTATGCACATCTACAGACAGAGATGACTGTATTGTTTCAATAGTTACCTGTGTAGGTTTTTTAAAATGAAATGTGACCAGATGATCTTTTTTGTATCCAATTATAAATAACAATAAAATAATGACAGTGGAAGTTGTGTTTTTGTGCCTATTTATGTTTCCTTCTCACACACACAATCACTAAAGCATGGAGGAAAGATGTGAGAATAAAGTCAACTGAAGAGTTGGGCAATACTGCAGGTTTTAGTCTGCTTGATATCTTTAATAAAGCTTGTTTGTTTCTTTAAGCTGTGTGACAGAAAAAAAAACCTCAAACTACAACTGGACTATTAGTGGAATGTGTGATGTAGAAGTTATGTCACAGTGCAACTGAGTGCAGTGTACACCCACAGAATTACAACACTATTTGGTAACTAATTAAAACTTAATCTAGCAAACAAGTACAAGCCTTTATTCTTTTGCCTGTTTTCTTAGTTTACAATCTGAACCTTTTGTCATGAAATAAGTAGGAAATGCAGCCTTTCTGTGACTGATTTTGCAGCAGTGAAACTAATATGAGAGTTAATACATTTCTTAGTTTCATATATATATTTTCTAATATATATACATAAAAAGATGACAATTTTAAAATGAGTAAAATTTTCATTGCAGCTATTATAATTTTAAAACTTTCTATTATAAAAAATAACAGATTATTAAAAAACCTCTCCAAAACTCAGTTATTAGTATATTATCCAACAAATTATTTGACTCTTAAAGAATATATGCTTTTTATAGTGATGTGTTCTGTTTCCCAGCTCAAAAAAAAAAAGACTGAATACAAGAAGTTAGATAAAATGCAATACAATGTACATAATGATGACACAGAGACCAACCAGTATCTGACATCACTTATAAACCCAATAACCAGTAAATGACCAGTATAAGTTTAAACCTTAGTAATTACAGAATGCCAATTCTGGCAGAACCATATGGGAATACTGAACCCACAGACATAAAACTTGGTCTAGCTTAGATTAGGGCTGAATGATTTTGGCTAAAATCGAAATTGTGAATATTATCAACAAATATTACGATTTTATTGCCATTTAGTTTCGCATGTAGATGTTACAGTAAATTTGTAACATGCCAGTGTTGCAGGACCTTACAGTAACCTTTGTATGAAAAGTTCATACTTCTACTATCATGCAAGGATTTACATGCTAGCTGTAACTCTCTCTTCCCTTCTGTGTATTATTGACACTTAAAGGGCTGAAGTTAGAAATTTAGGGTCTATTCCTGTTAAATGTAATGTGAATGAAATTGAGGACAGCTGCAATTTGAAAATAGCTTCTTTTTTTTTTTTTCTAAGTGGTGCTTATATTACAGTTGCTATTACTTGCCAAGCCCCTTGATCATTTTCTTAGTCTATTTGTAGTAATAAAAATAATAGAATTATAGTTTTGGAAAAAAGATCTGATCAAAATGAACAAATTTGACTTTGAATGGGTGGCTATTTGATTTGCATTCAACTTGAAATATGCTAAGGAGGATGGACCTCCATGCTGCATCAACTCTAACTACAGATTGCTCTGGTGCGAGTCGACAGAATGGCAAAGACTCCCGGATAGATGTGGAAATGTCTTCAGAAAAATACTGAGTGAAGGCCGGTTGCTTTTCAATTTAATCCTGTTTTAGGGATACCTCATCATACAAGAAAGTGACTTTATAATTTAAGTTTCTTATTTTGTTAAATTTGTCAGTAAATTCCAGTTATTGGACTAAACCTTTAGATCTTATGGAGAAAGCTGAAGATAGGGAGCAATTTATTTTCACAATGAGTCCAAGAATGTATCCGATCAACCAGAGAACGCCTTCACCAGGAGAAAACAAAAGCCTTTGAAAGGGCCTACCTGAGTCCCAGAGCAATCTGGGAGCTCATCTGAAGAAGGCGGTGATCATTAGCTGTCCGTACAATCATCACATAGTATGTAGCTAAAAACACTCACCGGTGTTTTTGATTAAAAAAAGGCATTTTAAAATGTTTTAGTTCAGGGGTGTGCACAGTTCTGTATACAGGTTATTATAAGTTTTATATTTATTTTTTATTTGCCTTTTAGCTGGATTTTTCCAGACACTTGTGATTTTAAAATTGTAAAGAAAGATTCAGAAGTTTTTTTCTTTTCATTTTCTATTTTTATTAAACAAAAAAGTGTTTTTGAGATCCAGGTATCTATACATTTGACTATTTACAGAGATGTTGATCCTAATGACATACAACCATTCACACACATACTCACACCAGAATTTAGAGAGCTCAACATGAAGCCAGTTATGTTTTTGGACTGTGGGAGGAGGCCGCAGTATCCAGAGAGAACCCATGCATGTAAAGGGAGAACATGCAAACCCCATGCAGAAAGACCCCGAGCCAGGAATCAAACCCAGATCGAATGCCATTTTCATGCTGCAAGGCAGCAGTGCTACCCACTGGCCCACTGTGCAGTCCACACAGAAGTTTGGTTAGTGTTTTTTTTTTATTTTTTTTTTATAACATTTGATGCAGTCATAATCATTTAAGCCCAATATCTACAGCTCTAAAAATTGTTCTAAAAAAAGTGCTCTGATACCCAATTGCCTACGCAGAAAATTCTTCGAGGGTTTAGTGTTCAAGCCTTGTTCCCTTCACATATTCCCTTTAAAACAATTGCAAAATAGTTAGGGATTGAGGATTACTAATAGTGAACATGTCTTGAGGGATAAGCCTCAGGGATAAAGCTTCTTTTGAGCAGCCCCTGTGAGCTGAAGCAGAAGAATAACCAGAAAGGGAAAAGGAAGGAGACTAACTGCGAGCATCCAGTGTTTCCCGCTCAGAAAATAAGGTAGGAATATACTGACTTTATTCACTCCCTTCTGAATTAATTTAGTAAATAAATAAAACTTTCTCCTTTAAATAGGCATGCTGTGAACTGAGGTTACCAAAAGTGGATGTCTTAAACTGTTTTATTTTTGCATAGGATAGATATTTATATGTTCTTAAAGATCTTCTAAATACTTTACAGTAAAACATAACTTATACGGGAAATAAAGGCTGTGTGTAAAAATATGCCAAGATATATTGTTGTTATAAAATGTGAACATTAACATTTCTTATTACCTGAAGCTCAAATATTCACTTGAATAATTTAGAGTATTTGAGGAATAAGCCTTTTTTTTGTGTATGTATGCATTTGTGTACCTGTTTGTTTTGCAAGTTTGCATTGTCATTACAAAGACATTTTCTGATAAATGTCTCCATCCAGCCTTAAGGCTTAGGTTGCATTAGAAATAATGAAAAGTAAAAAATTGCAGTTCTACAAGGAAAACTATATACATTTATTTCTTTACTGATAATTTGTCTTCAGATCTTTGCTGGTTATCTTATTCATTCAAAATATGTTTGTATTAAATATGGGCACCACAGCTTATTGAATTCTGTTCTTATTATTTTATGAACAAGCCCACAAATTATTTTGTTTTGTTTCCTGAGCCCAGCAGCTCTACCATGGATATCAAATTATAGCTAAAATAAAATAATCCCTTGCTTTGGTCTCACTTCATTATAAATGCCTTTCTTTCTTCTGTAAGAGTATTATCTAAAGATTTCTCATGTGCCAAAGGAAACTGAAACAGTTCTGCATACTTAGTGAACAAAGTGCTTGTGTGCAGTAGCTGTCAGGAATGTCCTTCTGCAATGCTGTTAAATCCCATTGGGATTTAGCTAAATGGGATTTTTTTTAATGGTTCTCGTGTATTCGTGATTTACTATTTATTCATGTTTGCCGCATTTTTTGCAGAATGTTTTTTGAATTTGGAAGCCAAAAGCAAACTCCTGAAGGTAACATGGATTCACAGTACATATACGAACTTTTAGGGTAAGAAATAATTAACCAAAACAATTATATAAAGGTATGAATTTTAAGATTTGGACATAATGCATGCTCATAATCCAATGTTCTGTCTCCTTTAGTGAAAACGCCTGGTACTACATCGCAGCTTCCTTCGCTTTGCTTTGGATTCTGGTGTGGCTTTACAGAGACAGCCTGGAAATAGGGAATGTCTCAGACAAATATGTCTTTGTGACTGGCTGTGACACAGGATTTGGGAACCTTTTGTGTAAGAAGCTTGACCGTAGAGGTTTTCGTGTTCTAGCCGGCTGTCTCACAGAAAAGGGAGCTGATGATCTGAAAAGAGTTGCAGGGCCTCACCTGAAGACGGTCCTGCTGGATGTGACCAGTCAGAGCAGCATCCAGACTGCCATGGAGTGGACAAAGAAGGAGGTTGGTGATAGAGGTGAGACTGAAATCATACGATAGAAAAATAAATAAAAAATCAACCTGCATTTTATAAAATTAGTTTACATTAATTGTTCACTTTGTTTCTCTTTGTAGGACTTTGGGGTATTGTGAACAATGCCGGACGTTCCTTACCTATGGGTCCTTCAGAGTGGATGAGAGTGGAGGATTTCCACAATGTACTGAAAGTGAACATGAATGGAGTGATTGCCATGACTATGACCTTCCTGCCCCTTATCAAAAAGGCCCGTGGACGCATAGTAAACGTGGCATCTGTCCTAGGCAGGGTGGCTGCAAATGGTGGCGGATACTGCATCTCCAAGTTTGCAGTGGAGTGTTTCTCTGACTGCATCAGGTAGTTAGAGAAACACTGAACAGATGAGAAAAATGTCAATTTCCATGTAGTACTTTTATAACTTTTATTAGACATAGCCTGGGAGAAGAACATTTTCACATGACTCTTATTTAAGCTTATGCTAAAGGTATAAGTACTGTATACATTTACTGAATAAATTAATGCATCTTTATCCGGTGAAAAAAGTAACACGGATGAAGTATTTAAAGAAACTGTCTATTTCTATTGATTAAAAATGACCAAAGCAGTTTTATTATACAAAACACAGGGCAATTTAAAGCCTTCTTTGCTAAAAAAATGACTTGTCTGTTTGACTTCCCTTTTTTTTTAGGAGAGATATAAGCTACTTTGGAATCAAAGTGTGTATCATTGAGCCGGGGTTTTTCAAGACAGCTGTGACCAGCCTTGATCCCATCGAGCGGGAGCTGCACCGTCTATGGAATCAGCTCAGCCCTGAAGTAAAAGCAAGCTATGGAGAAAAATACCTGGATAACTGTAAGCATAGCAAACTTTTTGAGGAAGAAAGCTTCACATGATAAACTATCATCAACTAGGTGTGTTAAAACCTCACTGTCGGCGGCTGTGGTTCATATATGGCTCAATGCCCAGAGCACTTGAGATGAAAATTTATTTTTTTTTTAAGTTTTTTTTTTTTTATATCATACTCCCTTACTACAAAGGAAACTCCCCAATGTTGTGCACTCTATAAGCGTTTTTTTTTTTTAAAGGCATTACTTTGTGGATTGCAAATGGCACAAAAGTTGGGATCTAATTCTCAAATTTCAAGCTGGGACAAAATTAATAGTCTGTAAAGAATCTGGATGCCATTTCATCCCTTATAATAACATCTGAACTACTTAGATAAATCAAACCTGAGTAGGATAGTTCTGCACTATATATATTCTTTAAATAAATGTGTGGTTAATGACATATAGAACCTGTTTGCAAAACAAAACAAAAAGAAAAAACAGAGGTAGATTTGGTAAACAGAGAACAAATTCTTGCTTCTTCAAGAGCTCTCTGTTTTGTAATTAGAATATTTGTTGGTTTCAGGAATTTGAGAGGAAACACTTTTCCTCTTTGTCACAATAAATAAAGATAAATATATTTAATTAGCATCATTTGATGAAAACAGGAACAGTTTATATTTTCTGAGATTTCTTATAAAACTCTGTCCCAAAAAATGAAAACAGAGTTGATCAAAAACTTTTATGCATCAGATGATACATCAAGGTATTCTAAGTTTACACCCTGAACTTATTAACTAAGATTCTTTCTTCGTAGAAAATAGGAGCTTAAAATGTTTTCCTCTAAAATGTATTTACTTTTTTTTCTTTAGACATCAAGATCCAGCGTTTGATCATGAATGCTGTGTGTGACTCAGACCTTAGCAAGGTGACCAGCTGCATGGAGCATGCTCTGACTGCGGCTCACCCACGCACGCGATACAGTGCCGGCTGGGACGCCAAGCTTCTATGGATCCCTCTCTCTTACATGCCTTCCTTTGTGGTTGATATTGGACTGAGGCTGGTGCTGCCTCGGCCTTCCAAGAGTGTTTAACTTGGCAAGACTTTGAAGAAACACCTTTAAAATTCTTGGCCACTTTATCATTTTGTATGTGTTGATAAAGTACTGAGTGTGCTGTCCATAATCCACTCTGTCCATTCAATGATCACGGCTGTGCTTTGCTTCACTTAGAGTATATCAGTGTATACCATGGTACCAATGTATGTGTTTTGATATTTGCATATTTTGTCAAGAAAGAATGGTCATTCCTCAGTGCTTCCAATAAAGCATAAAGTTTAATTCACTACAGTGAAAAATAATTATTTAAAACTAAGCGTGCTTTTAAAACAACATGTAAATCTTGTAAACAATGAAATAGCAGTGTTGATACTATGCAGCAATGATCTGCAGCATTTTTATGGCTTTTAAGCCTGGTTTAACACTAACACTAACAGTGCATTAAAGACTAATATCTATAACTTTAATATTAGAGTCAATCAAACAGCAAATGTCTGTGACCAACAGCCTGTAGCAGCAGAGATAAACAAGTAAATGACAACTGCATAAATCTTCAATTACCTTCTATTTACATACACCAACCTTTTTATAGAAATATCATTCAATTAAAATTTAATGTAAGCCAGTGTAATGCCAAAGCCAGTTGGGATTTTGAGGGGAGAGAAGCAAACATACAAAATGATCCAGAAATACTTTCTATGTTAGAACATGTAACAACAAACAAGCTCCATAGATGGCTCTGTCTACGAAAGAAACTGATAAGCAGGTAAAATTAGACAGGGTGTTTTTCTCATGGTCTAAAACTGATAGGTGGCTCCACCGGAAAGGAGCCATATAACTAAAAGATCTGCCTCCCATTCTACTTTTAGAAATTCTAGGAACCACAAGTAAACCTGCAGATTGAGAGTGAAGTGCTCTGTTAGGAACATAAGGAACAATTAGATCTCTGATATACCATAGAGTTTGGTTATTTAGTGCTTTATACTCTATATGAGAAGGAGGCTTTTAAATTCTATTCTGAATTTGACCAGAAGCATTGATCTCTCTTTATTTAAACTTTCATCCAAACTCTCACCTTGGATCAGCTGAAGGCTTTTAAATGCATTTTGTAGACTTCATAACAATAACAACAGTCCAACCTTGAATCAACTGCAGGGATCTTCAATGTTTTCCAGGCCAATGGCCCCCGAACTGATTGAGAGATGGAGTGGGACCCCCTAATTATATATATTGTATGAAACTGTGTTATGTCAAACTGGTCCTATAGTCACTCTGTTATATATGGAGTACTGTAACAAAATTAATTTCACCTTGGGATTATTAAAGTATGTTTAATTCTGATTCCTTGTTGATGGGACAGGTGTTGTGAATGACACTGTGCCCAGCTTAAAAGAGCTCCTGTGTGTCGCTGAATGTGTGCATTGATGACTGAAAAATATCTTCTGCCTCTATTTTTCAGTTTACTACAGTGTGTTGAATTCATATTAATGTGTATTTTTAGACGTTTTAATTAGTGGAAAAAATTGCAGGGGGGAATATATATATATAAAAAAGTAATCAACCAAAACTTTCGCGACCCCCATGCAGTACCTCTGCAGACCCCTTAGGGGTCGCGGACACCATGTTGAAGACTATTTTATGGATCAGTTTTTCCGCATCATTCCTAGGACAGGATGTTGAATAAAATGCAATATTTCAGAGATGAAACAAAGAAATTCTAGAAGCCTTTTTACTATTTAATTTAAATGACATGTTCTAAACAAAAGAAACACCATGGTTTAGAAATGTTATCATTGGATGCAACTTTACTGCAATCTAAATAAAGTGACTGACTAAGCAGCCTTTTTTCATAATGTAGGTTTTATAATGTAGTTTATTAAATACATAAATAAATAGCATGCTTTATTGAATTATTAATGGGACATTAATTGGTGGCATCAACACAATAATGTAAGTTTTTGTTTCTTCAGAACAGTCTTATTTATTAGGTTATCACCTCTTTTTTTTTTAACTATGTTGTTATTGCTAATATAAAAAAAAAAAACCCTCACCCTGATCAACGCTGCAGGGGAAAATTGTAACAATTCCGACGCAACTTGAATGCAGCACAGCCTTTGAAGCTGAACTCTGCGGTTTATCGGGGTAATTAGGTGGAGCTTCCAGCTGGATCTTTCTCAGCAGACCTGCCATCCAGACCAGCTGCGCACTGAGCGGCTCTCTGTTGTCTTTTCACCATGCACTGTCTCAGAGCGCTGAGATGGTCAGATCTCCTACAAGTTATTTCCAAAAATACCAGTAGGACGAGAAATTGTCTCTTCATACATCCAGCATGTTGTCTGAACAGAAAATCAACAAACACCTTCCAGCGACGGACGTATACCCACATGGATAATTTCCATAATAAAATGTAAGTAGTCTGCTTTTATTTGATGGACCAGAGCTACCTGTTGAGATTTTTTAATCTGCTGATAAGATAAAACCGACAAGCAACAAGCAAAAAAAATTAAATAATAATAAAAATAAATAAATAAAAAAGTAGAGTCTCTCGAATTCATTGATTGTAGGAAATATGATTTATAAATTACTGAATGGAGTCCAAGAGTAAAAAAAAAAAAAAAATATGTGTCATATTATTAATGTGTACAAAACTGCTAATAATTGTTTATTACATTTTATTGAGCTGATAAGATTGCAATATATTGTGTTCTATTGCATTCTATTATATATTCTACTCCATTATGAAGGTATGATTCTTTTCTTTTCTCAAGACTTTACTTTTTATTTCAGAAACTTGCATTCCGTATCTCCAAGCTCTGGAGTGGAAAATATGCTTTTCTACACCATCACAGAAGGAAGAGACCAAGTGCCAATTTCATACTTTCATGCTGTAAATATAGTTTTGTTTTGCATATTAAGCATTCAATGATTCCATATGCCCTGTACCAACAGGTAAAATTGATTCCATAGATGTTATTTAATGGGTTTTACAAATAATCTGCAGAGACAGTTTGGTGAAGATGGATTTGTTCTTTTGCAGGCCCTGAAAAAAACTGGTCTTCAGCCTTCAGACCCTCGGCTCAAAGAGTGCATGGAGAAGCTACGGCGTGCAGTGAAGGACTCTGTTGGAGAGGTGATGATGGACAAAGACCTTTTCCGCAGGTGAAAATCATTCTTTACGGAATTAGCATTCGATCCATACAGCACAATTTGAAACAATTTGTTTCATTTTCTTTGAAGGCAGTATTACTAGTGTGGTTTATACCTGTAATTTTAACTCCAAAAAGTGTGGGTTGTATTTTGCATCCATAGAGTTTTCTACAGCTCTTCAGATCAGTATCTCTGTCGGCGCTTAGAGCCTCATGCTATTGTTTTGTTTCCATTCATCATCAAGACTATTATTAGTCTGACCTTCAGATAAGAATCAATTTTTCCATTTGAATAAAGGTATATAGCATGTGTAATGCCGCATAATTATGTCTCCTCTTACTTCTGTTGTATATTTTCATGTTGTGAAGTTTATGGGAAGAGTGGCATTTTCATGCCATGTGATCTAATATAACACCTGCCCCTCTCATTGTTCCCCCTACTTAACTGGTGCAATGGTCAGACCTTTTGCGAAATGCTTCCCTACCCTCCCCTATTAGACAAGGTGCATCCTTAGGTTTGTTTTATAAGCTATGATTTTTTTAGAAATACAAAATACAAACAATACATTAATAAATCCCCTGAATTTAACCCATTCCATTTGGGATCAGTGGGCAACACATATTGAGTGGTGCCAGTCTTACTGAGGGACCGCTGATAGGCTGAGTTTTGAACCTCAGACCTGTGTTGCCTTCCAGGATACACTTTCTCTAAGCTACTAACCACTAGGGCACCACTTGAATTTTATTTTTGCTATAATTATTAGCCTAAACCTCTCCTTTTATTTCTCCAACCTGAGAATAATCTTATCCGATTAACTCTTTGCTGCTCTTTTACTTTCAGATGTGTGGGTGGCAACATCGTTCTCCTAATTCAGGCCTTCAGAAACAAATTTATCATCCCTGAATTTGATGTATTTGCACAAAAAATCGATGAAATCTACAAGACAGTGCAAGAACAAAGTGATGGAAAGGTAATCTCATGTTTAGCTACAGCAAAATGTTTTTATTATATATGATGACCTGGTTCAGAGTAACTTAATCAGATAATAAACATGTTTACATTAGCAGCCCTCTGCTGTAAATATAAGCCAAACTTCATTACTATGGTTTTATGACTGATTTTCCTTTTCTTTGCCTTTCTCTTTAAACCTGTGGCATCAGGTTGCTGACTACATCCCCCAGCTGGCCAAGTTCAGCCCAAAACTATGGGGTGTGTCTTTATGTACAGTTGATGGCCAGAGGTATGGTTGACATTAAATTTATTGGACCATTAATTACAGAGACTAGACTTACAACTGAATCTTATAGAGAGAGGACTTGAGATGGTAATAATACATTATAAAATATGTATAGAAAGATCGTTGACTTGAAGGTTTTCTTTATAAAGTTGCTTGAAGTGCTAAGGAGATGCACTGTCAAAGATAAGAAATATGTATGAAGATGACGATGAAGATAATTTGAAAAAGCACTGCGACTGAGAACCATTTGTAACTGGGCTCAAATAACTTATTTTAAGTCAAAGTTTAAAAACCCGTTTTTTTTTTAGAACTGCCTCGATTGTTGAAGTTAAAGAGTAAACTGAGGTATTTTTAGGTTAAGGTTGTGGTCCACCTGTTTTTTTTTTAAACATGTTCTTTGTCTTTACTTGCTTTTATTTTGCTTTTATTTTTCAGTTTTATTATCAAATTGATGTAAGCCCTGTGAATTGTCCATGCTTTGAATTGTGCTGTACAAATAAACTTGCCTTGTGTTTTCTTTCTCTAGGATTTGATTTAAAAAGTCATAGTCATATGTTTAATACAACCTAGAGCTCCAAAAATATCCTCCACTGGCTGATTTTTTATCTTTATTGATTCAAAAATCTGTATTTGAGTCAGTGCTAAACATTTTTAATTCAAATAGGGTATCTCTGTGTTATTTTGTCCTTTTTCAGGCATTCTGTTGGTGACACGAAGCAGCCGTTCTGCCTTCAGTCATGTGTGAAGCCCCTGCAGTATGCCATCGCTGTGCATGAGTCTGGAACAGAGAGGGTTCATAGCTATGTGGGCATGGAGCCCAGCGGACTCAAGTTCAATGTGCTCTCTCTTGATGAGGAAGGTATGCAACAGATCATTACCACCTCGACTCACAACTAAAACCTCGCTTACTCTTTCCGTGTATGATCACGCTGTATATTTTCTTCTTTACTCACCTCAGCTAATTAATGTTTAACTGACTTTCATATTTCCAGATGTTATCTTAAACTCTTCTTATGTGTTTATCTTATTTCGCCCTCACACAGATAAGCCTCACAACCCCATGGTGAATTCTGGAGCTATTTTGATCAGCTCTCTTATCAAGGTAAACAGGTTGACTTGACTATAGTCACATTTAGGTCATGCTCAAATAATGAAGTTAGCAATTTCTAGTAAAAACAAATTACAGAAGCATATTAACAAGGTGGCTTTGCTGCTCTAAAGCTGCTCTAAATTATTTATTGTTGCGTGGAAACAAAGACAAAAAGCAATGACCATTGAAGCCGTTGTTTTTTTTGTTCTTTTCCAGACATCTAAATAATTTTTGCTTTTTAGACACTTTATTTTTTTTTAGATATAAGAAATAATCAATGTTAGAACCCTACAGATAATTGGGTCAGTTGCTCTGTAGATGTACAACCAGATTTGAACATGAAACATAAAGCCTAAATATGTATAATTTGTGTCTTAATGGTTATTTTTCTACATTTTAAACAGAAAAACTTACAAACTGATCCCTTTTCTGCAATTATATTAGTCTAAGATAATACCTATGGTTTATTTATTGCTGCCTATCTGTCTTTTGTTGCACCAGGTGAAAGCAGGCCACTAAATTGTGCAATCAGTAAAATATTAATGAAACTTCTCAAACAGGTAATAAGAGAACTAACATCTGCAATCAAATTTGCTCTTCATTTTCAGCCCCTCTCAAATAAGGCAGAAAAGTTTGACTATGTAAGTAATGAATTTTAAACCATGATTTTAAAATGAAGACACTGTTATATGGTTTTTCAAAGGTGCACTGATTTAATGAAGTTTTGTTCTTTTTGTTTCCTAGTTCATGGAATTTGTAAAAAAGATGGCTGGCCAAGAATATGTTGGATTTAGCAATGCTACGTGAGTGTTTCATACCTCAAAAATATCCTTTTTTTCTCTCTATGAACATATATGCTGCAGTAGTTACTCTCCTAGGCAATCTAAATGTTCCGCTTTCTCAGAGTATTATGCTATATTATTGGGCTTCACTGCTTTTCTTTTTTAGGTTTCAGTCAGAAAAGGAGACTGGTGACAGAAACTTTGCAATTGGATACTACATGAAAGAGAAGAAGGTCTGTTAGGAGATTTTTTTTAGGGCATTTGTTTTTTTGATATGTTTGTTTTAAATTGTCTGTTTCTGCACAAATGTTTTGCCAAAAAGACTAGTAATTCATATTTTTTTTCTGATTCTCTTGTTATATTCACCAGTGTTTTCCTCCAGGAGCTGATATGATTGATGCCCTCGATTTCTACTTCCAGGTAAACTGCTTTTTCATCAAACAGGCAGCGCATCTTCGGCTCGGATTTAACATGGACTTAAATAAGTTGATCTATTTTTGACTTGACTTGCATGTTTGCCTTCAGCTTTGCTCTATTGAGGTGACCTGTGAGTCAGGAAGCGTCATGGCTGCCACCTTGGCCAACGGAGGGATTTGTCCAATCACAGGCGAGCGAGTCCTTAGTGCTGAGGCGATGCGGAACACCTTGAGCCTCATGCATTCCTGTGGCATGTATGATTTCTCTGGCCAAATGGCTTTTCACGTGAGTATGAGTCAAGGTTTAAATAGTTTTAAGTTTTTATTGTTCTTTTAATTGATTTAGTCCTGACTTCTGGTTTTCTAGTTTTTTGTTTTTAGTGTTTGTTAGCTAGTTTAGTTTTTATTTTTTGAAAATGCTTATTTTCATTTTAGTTTTTATCATTTTCGGTCATAGTTTGAGTTTTTTTTTATGTATTATGATTTGCATACTGGCAAGACAAAAAAATAAAGTAAAAATAATAATAGAAATAAAATCCCAGATAAGGACAACCTGCTGCAGCAACATAAATGACCTACAGTAACTACCATACCTGCCATCTGCTGGCGTAATGTGGTACAGCGAAAAAAAAGGAATAAACACCAACAGGAAACTAGACTTCATGTTAATGCATTATGATCAAAGCTGGGGTATATACCTGTAAACCTGGGAGCATACAGTCCTGTTGGGGTTGTTTTCTGGAATACTGTAACCCCTGTTTAATTGTATTGCAGAGTATATTTTATTTTCTTAATTGTTTGAAAAAACATTTTTATCAGCGTCAAACCTATTTGTCAATGTGCAAGATAGTTACTTTGACTAGTAACTAGTTACTTTTCCTAAGCAGTAGTGGAGATACTAACTCAGTTACTTTTCTGGGGAATTTACTAGTAACTATAACTCTAACTATAACTTTATTTTATTAAGTAAGGTTCCCAGCACTGATTATGATAAAGAAAACTAAACTTATTCTCTCTTAAAATTTTGTTTGTTTTAATGAAAATGTTGAATTCTAGTTTTCGGCATTTTACTGTTTTAGTTATGAATAATATATATATTTTTTTACGATTTAATTCTATTGTTGATATTGTGTTCTTCACCTTATCATCTAGGTGGGTCTACCAGCTAAATCTGGAGTGTCTGGGGCGATACTGCTGGTGATCCCTAATGTAATGGGAGTGATGTGTTGGTCTCCACCTTTGGACAAAGTTGGGAACAGCGTCCGAGGAATACATTTTTGTCAGGCAAGATCAAATATTAGTTTCTCCTGAGAAGTTTCTTCTTAGTTTGGATTACTGAGTATTTGTTTTTTAATATTTTGCAGATCTCGATAAGTATAAAAAATTTATAAAGATTTTTTTTTCAAAAATGTATATCCATACTTTATTCCCTCTCTAGTTGACAAAATAATATAAATATATGTTAATCTGGATAAAAAATACTTGTGTTGTGTTGTTTATACTTGTTTTATTAAAAAAATTTTAACGTCCCCACTGGTTTACGATAATAACCTCCATAATTTGTTCATTGTTTAAATGTGCATTTATGCATCACTCATTAGCTCATCTATTAGAAATAATGTTTTTTTGCAGGTTTTCTGTATCTATACTTCTATTTTATAAAGTCAACTTTGATATTTATGCTCTATAACATGGGAAACACTTTGAGAAACGTGGGAAACATATGCCTGAAATGCAAGTCTGTAAAAAGCATTATCCTATCATGAACAATGTGAGGGAAGCCTGTGTGCTTTCTGATCATTCAGTCCTTGTTTTCATGCTGTTCTGATTGTGATAAGTTAGAATGAGGTTGGTGACTGATTTTTTAAAACAGGTCTGAGCCTACCAGTTTAGCAGTTTTTGTCTTGCTGGCTTTCCACTTATGTTTTCTTGTGCTAAACCTGATGTCTATAAAAAAGCAACTTTACTCTGAAGTTATATGCTCTTTATTTTTAGGAGCTGGTTTCACAGTTTAATTTCCACAATTATGACAACCTTAGGCACTTTGTAAAGAAGCAAGACCCTCGCCGGCAGGATGGTGATGACAGGGTAGGCTGCTGCTCTTGTGTTTGGTGTCATATCTGTGTTTACATTCATTACTTTGTTTAGGAATTTTCAATGTATTTGCAGAACAAGTCTGTTTTCAACTTAATGTTTGCTGCCTTCAGTGGGGATGTGTCAGCAATGAGAAGGTACTAGAAGCTTGGATTATTTGGTGGGACTAAAAATATACTGTTTTAACATCGGGTTTGAATACATAATAAAAATAAAAAATAAAAATGAGTGAAGGAAAAAGCTTACCTAAGAGAAAGTGTTGCTTGGTTAAAGGTTATAAAATAAATTATTTTAGAAAGCATGAAAAATAGTATTAAGTGGAAAGCCGTCAATGCATATATGTTTCTTGCTCTGATGTTAGATTAGATAATCAGATATTGCACTAAAGTAATTTTCATCTCTTCAGAAACACCACAAGGAAGCATGGAGAGAACCATCTCAGTCTGCATTTTCTAAACACCTAATCTCTATAAATCAACACGAGTTCTAAACACCAAATCTCTTTGAACCAAAATGAGAAACTTTTGTATTTTCTTCTTTAAGAAAGTATGCTCAATTCTCTAGCATAAATGTTGCCTAGTAAACTAGCCCCACATGCCAGCGTCCAGAATCATTTTTGCCTGCGAGATTATATTACACATTTAATCTCACATTTAGCCTGGTTTATCAGGGTAGCATAAATGGTAATAACAGTACAAAAGCTTTTTCACAGATACTAATAACGCAATCCTTCCAGTAAAGATGCATGTGGCTCTCAGTTCAGAGGCATCCAAGTTTGACGTGTTCCAGCGCTGTGAAATGTTTTTTAGTGAGCAAGTGATCCAACACACTTTTCTCCTCTGGTTCAAGATGTTTTACTTTCCAAAAATAAACTAAGATTTTTCTTATGTGTGATGTGACAGGCAGATCATATCGGTTCATTTCTTTCTTTTCATGCCACTCAAAAAACAACTATGCAGCAATGGTCAAAAACTGTATGCCTGAATATAACCTGGCCCCAATAGCCAACTCCAGGTGCTGCAGTCACCTGTCTATATTGAAGGGGCTGAGGCAAGAAACAACGTCAATTATACACAGCAGCAAAAATACAACAAAAAAATTCCTTGTTTCATAATTAAGTCAACTCATACTTCAAACCAACTTATTTCACGTTCATATGTGTCCTAACAAACCAGAAATAATGGAATAGTCAAACATAAATCGAGCATTTGGCTCCAACAGATACTTTCCACTTCAGCTATGAGAGAGTGCTATATTTTAATATTTTGTGTCTTGTTTTTAAAAACTTTAGAGGAGAAGCCATTTCTCAGAGCAATCACAGAGGAACGGGCAACATGTATGACATGTTCCTCCCACATTCCAATTACATCACTTTTATGTTATGGTTATGTTCAGTGGGGATGTATGTTTTGCCATAGAGATAGGCACCATATATTACGAATGACTCTCTCCTCTTGCAGTGTTGGATTTGCCTTTTAGAGAAATTAAAGCTTGTATTAGAATGTATTCAAAGTCATTAAGAAAATACTTCTGTTCTTCAGAAGCATAAAGACAATATTAACTTGGACACAAAAAACAATACCTACTTTTTTTATTTGGAGCGATCCCAAATATTTTTCCACTCATGTCCACTTGGTTTTAAATTACACGTTTATTGTAATTCGCAATGTGTTCACTGTTTATCAGTAACAACTGGCTGATGTTGCAGATTTGCTCTCTCATCTGTGGACATGGATCTGAAAGACTACGACTCCAGAACAGCGCTACACATCGCTGCAGCAGAGGGTGAGCTCCTCTATCATCTCTCATATCGTTAGTTATTTTTGGAAACAAAAATGTTCAGCTGTCTGGTGTTCATCAACCTAACTGTCATGGCTGGTATTCATGTTAATGTGCCATAGTCAGAATGTGTAAACATTCCCTTTCAGACATCTATTCAACATAATTTGGTATTTATCAGGCAGCTCCTAACTCTGTTTAGCAACGACTGAAGACTGGCAAGAAGTTTATTGTAACTTCTTTGGGTATATTTGCTTTTTGTTTTAGAAACTATTTTCAGAGCATCTAATTGAAAATCAAATAAATATGAAATACATAAATAAACAGATAAACTTTGTTTAGAAAGCTATTTTTAAAGGTTATTTATTTGGTTAAGTGGTTAGTAAGAGTTTTATTTTTTTGCAAATTGGTAAAGCAAAGTTCTTCCCTCCATAATCAGATTTTAAAATGATTATGTGTGAAAAAAACTGGAATTTTATAAAATAAAACAATATTTATAGTAATTTCTGTGTCTGTTCATGCTCACATACAGAGATGTCAAGTAGCAAAGTACAAATACATTATTTTTTTGTGAAGTTTTTACCTCTAATCCATACATTTTTTTTTGCAATTATCTCTACTTTCTATTACTTACATTTAGAAAAGGATTTGTTAGTTTTGTTTAATATAAGCCAATCTTGTTATGGCCTCTTGATATATATATATATATATATATAGATATATAAAGATATATATATATATATATAAAAAGTTTAATCCAGACAGTTAATTTCTTTGTTGTACTGCACCAACTTGTTCTTCCACACATACCAAAATAGTCTTTGAAGATGATGCAAAGATAATTTGCTGCCATTAGTTATAAACCTAAAAAGATTAAGTAAAAGGGAATTATCATCCAGAATTGTAAAAAAAAAAAAAAAAAAAATGTTTCTCTAATAGGGTAGTGGATGCATCTGTCCTCAACATTTTTTTCCTGCATTACTTTTACTTTTATACTTTAAGTAGTTTTAAATGGCTGTTTTTACACTTTTACTTGAGTAAAAAGCTTAAGTTGATACTCTAACTTCTACAAAAGTGTTTTTAAACGGTAGGATTTATACTTCTACTTGAGTAATAAACATGAATACCTTTGACACCTCTGCTCATATACTATATATACTCATTGTGCAGAGTGAAATACATTAGTCCTTCACTTTCTGTAAGTTACAAGGTAACCTACAGATAATCTGCTTTCTGTAGATTATCTGTAGGTTATCACTTACAAAAAAGAAAAAGGCAACATTTAATGTCTCTGATTGTTAGTTATATTCTAACTTAAGTTATATTTTAAACATTCCCTGTGTCACGCACGCATCAGCTAATTAACAATTGCAAACCTTTGCTGAGCCTCTGATCTTTCTATCTGGTTTAGTGAGCTCAATCAATCAACCTTTATTTATAGAGCTTTACAACAGCACCTGCTGAACTAAAGTGTTTTCCATAAGTTCAATAGAAACAGTTTCAACACAGTAAATAATCAAATTGAAAGTAGAAAGTATAATTTGAAAGTATAATCTTTGCCCGTTTGTTCTCAGGTCACATTGATGTTGTAAAGTTCCTCACTGAAACCTGCAAAGTGGATCCTTTTGTGCAAGACAGGTCAGATCTGTTCATTGTTAGAATCCTTTTTTTTCTTTTTGTTACAAAGGTTATCAAACATCCTTTTTTAAATTAAATATCTGACCTATATCTGTGTTCTGCATGCATACATAATTATCTCTGATTATGTACAGGTGGGGGAATCTTCCAGTTGATGATGCCATGCAGTTTGGCCATGAAGAAGTAGTAAATATGCTCAGAGAATACCAGCAAGACTGGAAGCAGCAGGAAAGGCAGCATGGCGAGGCCGAACGTCCCCCAAAACTGGACACAATTGAGGGCATGGTTTGATATTTTTAAAAGTAAAATTTTAACATGTCAGAACATGAGTGACATTTGTTAAACTTGAACTAAGTGCAGAACCAAAGAAATCTTGACTAAATGAATGTAATTGAATTTTGCATATTGTAACAATTACGTATATAAAGGGTATAAGGTTTTATATTTGTACTTCGTCTAAACTTGTCAAGTAAAAAAAAGTTTTTGAGCAAATTATAACTTTGGACATTAATCTAAAGCTCTGCTGAAATATTTGTATGAAAGAACGTCCTTTTTAAAACGTAGACTCTCTGTATGATTTTTAAACAAACAGTATGTCGATAAAATGCTTTTACTGAGGTAAGACTCAGTCATTCTTTAAATTCCTGTCCCTTTGGATATAAATTATAATTTTATTGTTATCAAAGAAACAAATGGTATTTTTTTTACAGTATCAACCTTTGTTTACAAGGGATTATTAAACTATATTGTACCTATATGCACACATACAAAGACAAACTCTTAAAGAAATCAAAGATTTTAACAAGTATACTGTAGTATTTTGTGTCTGCCTTCCTTTATGTAGATTTTGTGTAATCATAAGAAAAACAATCACTTGCACTGGGAGAATTGCAATTAATGCAATATAAGTTTAGGAGTTTTTATGAGTGATAGCCATTTCTAAGGAGTTTGTCTTTAAATCACCAGATTTTTCAGTTACCAAATAGTGCTATGGAGCCATCAGACTAAACATCTATTCAATCGGAGCAGAAAAAAGAAGCTTCATTAATAAAACAGTTTGGAGAAACCTTTAGTTGCATTCAGATGGACCACTCCCTTAGAAACAATGCATCCTTTAGGATCCTTTATATCGCTATTGTTGATAAAACACAGATCCAGCCTTCTTAGTAGCCAAAACAACACAAGGTTATCCAACTTAGCTGGATTCCTGAATTTATTGAATAAAGGACTTACTCATCTGGTTTTGATTTCCTCTGACCAGCATGCTCCTGTGTAAGGAGCAATGTAATGTGAAACATAACTGGAATTTAGAGGATAATACATTCTAATTAAAACCTAATCTGTTAAGGGATTTTAGATTTTACACAAGGAAGAAGAAAACAATGGTTTAAAATAAATTATGGGGACATCTTTTTAGTGAAGTTTTTCAGAATTCTTTTTGTTTTTTCTGTTTTGTGGTAAACATCAGGTAAAAAAATGTCATAGTCCTTAAATATAACTGTCATGAGTTTGGTGAGTTTGATGTGTTTGGTAGCAACAATTCAAGCAGCACTTGAAATAAAATTGTTATTTCAATTAATATGATTTTGAATGATGTTTTTGTTGCTAGAAAAAAAAAAACATATAATTTATCTATCATTTTCCAACATAAATTTTAAACCAAAAATGAAAAAGAAATCAGGATATCATTTTTATTACTTTTATTTTGATGGAGTGAAGAAAAAATCCAGACTTTTCTTTTATTTCGAGGTATATTGCTCATCTTCTTAACCCATGATCTGCAAAATCAAATTTAAAAGGATCAGTCATGATGTTTAAAGACGAAGCATTTGTATCAATGCAATTCTTGAGTTATCAAATACTGACGCTGTTCATCCAGCTGATGTAAGCAGAAGAACGGGTGAAGACAGTGGGTTTTTTGTAGGTGTTGCAGCCAAGTGAAGACACAAAGCTGGTCACTCCGTGGACCACCCATTGGCCGTTGACACTGCAATTCAGGGGGCCACCAGAATCACCCTGTATAAATGAAATCAAACAGAATTCAATAACCAACACCACTGCCTCTAATTTTATTCATTCCGTCTTATTGCCTTGGAAAAATATTCCTGCCCCTTTAAATCTATTTGTGTTTTTGGCAAGGAGAACATTTATCAGAGACGCAGCAGAGAGGCCAATAAAAAGGAGTACGAATAAAGTCGCTCTGAAAAGAGAGAGCAGCATATTTCAGTTTGATGTTTACTAAAATACTTATAAAGGAAATAAAAAACATATGCAGGGAGGTGTTCAAAATTAAACCTATGTGCCCTACACATCTATCTACAGAGGGCAATAGTAGCAGCAGCATGCTGTGGCCAACCTTAATTTCAGCAGGTATATTGGATTAGGTCAGAGTGGATGTGGAGATATAATAAATTAAATGGAGCAAAGTACACAAAGAAAATGTTAGAAGCTTTAAAAGTCTCAAGACTCGAATGTGTGTAGTTTAACTTTGCAGCAGAACAAAAACATTCACTATTATTACAGAACTTCAATATATTTTATGTGTTACAGTGGCTCAGTCAAAGTACCAATATCTAAAATAGATTTTAAGACTAAGATTAATAGGAACCTTTATTTAATCTAGCTGTGCTAGATTTTAGGAAGAGCAAGCAGTTAATTGTCATAGGCATGGTTCTGTTTAGTTTGGGTTTGGACTCATGACAAATTTTTCTGTTCAACTTGTCACTAATGAGCCACCAGCAGTTATCCCACCAGCTCAGTCTGCTTCCAGCCACCACTCCATTCTAAATTATCTCCACCTGTTCCCACTAATGAGTTACTGAGCTCAGTTTTTCACCAGCCTACCTATACTTGCCTCTGCCTACTCATCTCTGCCAGATTGTCTCACTCTCTTCATTGCCTGTTGGTTCTGTCTCCGCCTACATCTCCTGGTTCTCTGCTCATCCCTGCAAACCAGTACTTTCGGCCAAGATTATTCTGTCAAGATTGTGACTGTTTGCCTGCTTCATCTGCCACTATTCACCCCTTCAATAAACCCTTTAAACGTAACTCTGTGTCTGGCTGAATATCAGGTTCACCTACAGTAAAGTTTGACAGTTAATTCAGTGGTCTAGATGTCCAAACCTAGTAGACTTACACTAAAAGCCACTTTGTGAGAAAAGATCCTAATACAAAGAGCAGGTTCCGGTGTGAGTTTTTACAGATGAATATGTGTCAGATAAACATTGTTTTATTTTCAGTAAAAATACAAATATGTGTAATTCATGGTTTTGGGTAGTAAGGTGACACAAGGTAATTAAGTCATTTTTAAACAGCACTGTTTTCATCAGATTTAATTTCATTTAATCATCCAGATTGTGGTGTACCAACAGATAGCTCACCTGGCAGCCAGAGTCGCTTTCACCTCCAGCACAGACCATGGTGTTCTTCACCGTGCTGCCCCACCATCCGTAGCTGGTGCAGGTTTTGTAGTCAACAACAGGCAGGTAGGCTTGTTTCAGCTGAGCAGACAGGCTACCACCAGCTGGGAAAAACATACAACATATTGTACAGCTTGTCAGTAAGTCTAAATGTTAATCGTGTTGTTTGCTGGTGAAGATTCTCAGTCATCCAGTTCATAGTCATTCAAAAAAAGATTAAAAAAAAAAACAATCCACTGGACTTTGTTTCCAAGTTTGAAGATGTCTCACTTCACATCCAGGAAGCTTTTTCAATTCAAAATGTTAGAATTAACGTTGAGTTCTAAGCTGTGTTAATCATGTTAATGTGAAATTGCATTTGACGTACTCTGAGTGCGTCCCCATCCGGTGATGTAGCAGGGATGGTTGTGGGACAGAACCTGGCCGGAGGGGGGCAGATTGGCCAGCTGGACGTAGTTGTTGAGGACAGCATCGGAGGACAGGCGCAGCAGAGCAATATCATAGCTAAAATAAGGAGGAGTCAATATACTTTTTTAAAGATCTTTGATAAGCTGTTTTTTTTAGAGAAAAGCTTATACTAGAATGTCACTTTCTGTTCTTGGTCAGCTTGAGACATAATGCCTAATATAATTGATAGATCAAATATCCAATATCTGTTCTCAAACACATTAAAACTAAGCCTTTTTTTCTTTAGGAATCTGATATCTTGTATTTTTAATAAAGGTTTAGCAACAGAAAGATAGTTTTATTAAAAATATAAAATGAAAAGGCTATGTTTTACTGTCAGCAGAATTCTCATCTTAAAAGTAAAAAAAAATGCTTTAAATTATAATTTTTTTACATGAAAGTTAATCTAATTGTCTAAAATAATAGATCTATGGGAAGTGATAAAAAAACCCAATGCTTACAGAAATGCAAAGCAGCTACAGACAACACCTTCTCAATTAAATAACGGAACATATAAACCATTTTTAAAATGTTTTTTAAACCTTAATGCAGTGTAATATGTAACAATGTGCAGTTTTTCGCTCTTCAAACCCCAATAAATATGTGAAACCACATTTTTTACTAACCCTCCAGCGACGTTGTTGGAGTTCCAGTTGGGGTGAATGTAGACCCTGCTCACGCTCATGTATTGCTCTCTTCCCTCATTTTTGTTGATGTCATGATCTCCAAGAACAACACGCCATGTCCTGGAGCTTTGGTCATACAGAAGATTTATTTTTATTTTTTTTATATATATTAATTCAGTAAATAAAAAATAAATTTAAACAAAAAAAAATGAATTATTTTCTATCTGATTCTCTTTACTGTGTTTTAACTTTACTGTGATGTATTAGACTCCCACCTGTCCACACAGTGAGCAGCAGTCATCACCCATCCTCTCCTGATTAGGGTTCCTCCACAGGTGTGATAGAAGTAGCTTCCAGATTTGTACTGAAGGGAGATCTGAAAGAAAAAATTACAACAAAAATCTTTTCAAACCATTTTTAAATGATTTAAGTCTATTTTTAAAGGCTTTAAACAAACAGATATGACGATTGCTCAGTTTTTGGGTCACTGTGGCAGGTAAGATTCATTAACTGCATTTATTTCTTAGAAAGATCCAAGAGATGTATTTTCATTTCCAGTCATATTTTGATTATATCTATGCATAGAGTAGGTCTATTCGACTTTTACATAAAGTTGATGTAAAACTGTAGATTTCAGAAGTTTAACATCAAGTCAACAGGTTTCATGTAATTGATTTGCTGATTGATTGAGCTTGATAAAAAAAAAAAATCATATTCATATTTCAAAACTTGTTGTAGTTTAGAATAACCCAAAACTGTTTAGTTTTTTTTTTTTTTTCTTATTTTACATGATGTTGGGAATTTTTTGTTGTTTGCATGCTTTTAACACAAATTGTGGGGTCAAAAAAGGTTTAAAAGTTTACCTGCCATGGCCAGGAGTTTGGTCTGGCCACCTCTCCTCCTACCACTCTTTCCTCACCAGACTCATCCTCCAGGTACCTGGGCTGGGGCTCAGCCAGCACTGAGCAAAACAGATATTCAGGGGGAGAACAGGTGAAATTTTTAAAGTCAATTTCGGGCTCCTGTGAAGAATCTTTAAAATAGAATAAGGCTGGACTTACCCAAGGCTGCAAGAGAGGTCAACAAAAGAAACCTGAGCATGTCTGCAGTCTCCTCACACTTTCTGCTGCAACAGCCTCTGTCCACTTCTCTTTTATACCCTCAGGGCAGCTAATACTGATAATGGTGTGGATAATGTGTCCAACATCATCACATGTCCACCTGTGAAGATCCCACAGTTATCGTAAAGGCTGAAAGAAGAGGTCAAACGTATTTCAAAGAATAGTAGACACTGTCCCTAGAAATGACCAAAGGATTTTCTTCACTCTTTACATTGACATGTGTGTGCAGCCTACACAGGTTATGTTTTAGACATTTATCACTGTTTTATAAATTGCTTTGCTGCTTTCTTAAGTAAAAAACCCCCCACAGAAATTGGTACATGTCCTGCTAACTCATGACTTAGATAAAAAAAATCACTACTGGATTCATTATAAAGGGCGGATATGGGTGAGCAAAGGTTTTCTTTAAGCTTAATGAAATAAAAGCCAAGCTTAAAAAGATCAGATTTGAAAGATAAAATACCATAGGTTACATTATAGATTTAATTGTGCTGACAATCCTATTAGCCCAAGAGGGGGTTAAATGAATCACATAAACAGAGAGGACATTTATATTGTTCAATATTGGTTCATTACTACATCAAGGCAGATGGTGAACATATACATCAGAGATAAAATAGATTCCTGTAAGGGTTGGGATATCTTCGTGTGTGTTGTCTTAATTGTTATTTATTGAAATCTTATATTTTTCTCTTAGAAAAAGTCTGGAAATGTCTATTTGTTTCATTGCTATTGTTGTACAGTAGTAATACTTCTTGGGAACTTTATATATGCACATATTTACAAACCAAAAGCAAGAGGAAGAATTTGTAACAAAGAAAAGTTTTTTTTCACATGTGCCATATATTGATTATTTCCACTCAGCCATCATGCTTTCTCAGCCTTTTTTTCTAACAAGCTCAGACATGTGTTTGGTTCCCATAATGTAAGGACATCTTTACATCATGTATTTACTCTGTCCTCACCTTTTACTCTTTTCTCACTTTCCAAACAGGGTAGCATTATTCTTTATTAGCTGGGTGAGGTAGTGCAGAAGGCGGATAGTAGTTAATGATGGCAAGTTTACTAATGAATGTAGAGTACAGTGGCATGTTAGATGTTTACATTCTGTTCACAGAAAAACAGCAAGGCTCCATTATTAGTAACATGCAAGATCATGACTGAGGTGCAAACTGAATAGCCCTTTGGTGGCAGTAGTGTAAAACTAAACATTACTGAAGTCTAATGGTGGTACAAAGTTTGTTAGCACAGGGTTTTAATGAGCCACAAGAAAGAACATGAATATGACTGTATATATATATATTTTTTTCCTTTTACTTTTTGGTGACATGCAAGCACAAAATACAATAGCGCGGTTGCTTAATAGTATAAATATGAATGGAACTTGTTTTTATTCTGTAAAATACTTTTTTTTTTTTTTTTACAAAAATTGAAAGCAATTCAAAAGCGAAGAACACACTGGATATTATGTTTTTCACCTCTAAATGAAGAGTTTGTATCACATTTTATAGTAAACTATAGTTTCATTCATTTCATTAAGGGAGTTTGTTTGGTGAGGAGTTTCATCTTTGCAGTTTAATCTTTGCAGGATTTTTTATGTGTTATTTTATAGGTGATCACATAAAGCAAAAGTTCGAGGAAATGTATGTTAAACGATGACAAATCCCAGAAGTTTAGAAGTCTTGCAGAATGATTACTTTCTTAGATATATCTATTTGGGTACAGTGATCAGCTAAAGTAGTAGTTATTTTATGCAAATGTAATTTACTTTATTTTCACCTCGACAAGGTGAAATACTGAAGAAAGGATACTGATAAAACACAGAAAAAACATAATTAGACTGATAAAACACAGAACAATCATCAACATGACAGAACGTTGAAATTTGAATATCAATGATTTAATTGCTCAAAGAGGCTATATATCAAAAGAGAAGAAAGCTTATTTTATAAAAATAATATTTCAGATATGTTTTTGCAACCTTTCAGAATGATAATGTATGTAATTTGGGTGGTGGTCAATGTTGATCAACAGGGTTTTACATCATTAAAATAAGTCTTTTTTATACCTTCTAAGGTTTTGTTTACAGCTCTTTCTGCCAAATTGCTTTTTTACGCTCAAAGGCTCCAGTACTGCAACTACTGTGCCACAAAGCTAATTCACATAAAAACATAATCTGACATTTGATGAATATTTCTATATACAGACTGAACACCAAGTGAAATGCTTCTGCATATAGTTTAAAAGGTGTTGTCTAAATAAAGTTTGATTGTTTGACTTATAAAAACAGGATCACTCATGCAGGAAAATGTCATCAGTAGATTAACTATTTTTGATTTGCTTACTGTTTTTTAATGCTTATCTGAGGACGTTTAAGCAAAAATTCCATCTGGCAGACCCTCATCAGCCTCACCAACTGCTGACATTGCAAGTTCAAGCTTCAGCTAATCAACGTCAAGGCCAGTGGTGGACGAAGTACTCAATAGTTGTATTTGAGTAAACGTATTGATACACAAAGTCAGATCTTACTCAATTACAAGTAAAGTTACTCTGTCAAAAATCTTCTCAAGTTAAGTTTGAAATACTCACTGTTGAAAACACTTAAATATTTAAAAGTACTTAAATATTCAAAAATATTTCTGTATGATTTCCAGAGAAATTTTAAAAACAAACCAAAAAATAAAATAAAAACGGGGTGTCTTGATTCTCCTCACATTTTCACTATGGAATCAAGGATTAAGGTTACATCCATTACCATAAAGAAACCTCAGCTCTGATTTGAGAAACCAGCCTACAAAAGAAACTTGGCCACGTGGCAACAACTAATACCTTAATAACATTTATAAACTACAAATAATATCTGCCATGAGTTTCTCACATTTTTTGAATGCCATGCAAACCTCTAAAACAGTGATGTCCAAATTCAGACCTAAGGGCTGAATTCCATGTTAAATTGAATTTCAAGAAAGAAAAGCAACAGTGAGTTGCAGAGCTAAGCTGAGCCAAAAGAACAAGTAACTTGTAGCTTCCTCCAAATGTATTGCAGTAGAAAGTACAATATTATACTTTGAAATGTAATGGAGTAAAAGTAATAATTACCCCCAACCCTAACCTAGAAAAAATTGCTAAGGTAAAGTAATGATACTCATTCCCCAGGGTGGAAGACTACTCTAATCCTTTTCCTAATTTACTCATCTAAATGAATGTAAATTCACAGCATCAAATTCTTCTGCCCCTGTGGCAAAAAACTTATTTCATTCTTGTTAAATAAAACTTTTGTAACTGCATCTTTTCTGTGTTCGTCTCTCCAGGTCGAAATGCTTTTATAGCCCTAGAATAATTTTCTTAATCCCACAACAAAGGTAGAAAAAAATATGCATATAAAGTATATATATATATACAAACATATACAGACAAAAAAACTCCAAAGACAGTGTTTTATCAAGTTTATTTGTTTACAATTAGACTGGGTAGATGAGCAGATTCCAGTGGAAACATATTATTGATCACAAATGGTTTCTGTCTTGTATGCTGCAACATCTAAGACATAGTCTGTAAAAAAAAAAAGTGAAAACTGGTTAGGCACCATCCTTTTGAAAGCAGATGAGGACATTTCAACAACAAAAAAAAAATACTAACCGAATTTATCCAGTCCATATAGTGAGACAAACGAGTGAAGATAGGAGGCTTTTCCCTGCTAGCACATCCAGATCCAGATGAAACACTCAGACTACCATGAACATAATACTTGCCATCAACCTGACAACTCAAAGGGCCACCAAGAAAACCCTGAAAGAAATTATTATTTAATCACATTATTTAATCACATTAGGGTAATATGACACAACTTTAAATACCTATTCATAGTTACAAAAAACAAATTATAAAGTTATATATGCAGAAGTGAACTGATGATTAGATTCAGGTTTGAGATATCAGGCTGTTAGAGAACAGCAGAAATGTTTCGTGGTAAATGGCTCTTTATGCTTTATTAAGAGATTAACAATGGAGAATTTCTACTCAAGAACACAGGTTTTTTTTTTTGTTTTTTTTAAGTGAGTGGAGGGCTTTCTGACTCCTTGATAAATATGAATATTTGATGGCCTTCCTTCAATTTCAGTTATGTTAGCTACAATGAATAGGATAAACATTACGGCGACTACAGCTATTACAATTCTGGCCTGTCTGCTATTCACCAAACTTGGCAGATGAACTCTCTGGCATCATAATCAAGCTCATCCTCTCTCTCTTTGCCGATCTTTATAAGCCATTTTTTTAATCTTCTTGCTGATCAGATATACAGTGTTCTCCATCCCAGATTAATCTATATCAACCATGTCTCTGATTTTTTCTGCCTTGTCTTGTACTTTATAGACATCTACAAAAGCTTTGGACATTGTCCATAGCACATGTCTTGCATGAAGATCAAATTGCCTACTGTCTCCTTATAACAGTTGCAAGTAAAACATTATAACATCTTAAATTTATACCAATCCATTTGATGTTAATGCATACACTCACCAGTGTAGTGTAAACCTTTGTTAACGTGCAAATACTGAAAATACTGAAACAATGTCAAACTCACTCTTCTTTCATAAATCCCTGCATTGCAGGTAATTTCACTCCTTCCAGCACAGATCATAATGGGTTTTATGACGCCCCACCATGAGTCCCTGCTGGAGCAGGTTTGGTAGTCCACCACTGGAGTGAAGGCCTGCTTAAGCGGCAGAAGCTCACCTTTTTCAACTGATAGAATATGTTATTGATTAAATGTTGTGGAAGAAGAACTGGCTGAAGTGTAATATTTGAGGGATTTGCACCTACCGTACGTTCGTCCCCATCCGGTCATATAGCATGGGTTGTTGTGAGGCAGAATTTGGCCGGGGGAGGGGAGAGAAGCAAGCTGAACGTAAGAGTTTAGGGTGACCTCAGATGATAGTTTCACCAAGGCAATATCATTTCTGAAACACAGGAGGGGCCATTAAACTAAAGAGCCCTTAAGGTTTCATTTAAATTAAGATAAAAATAAAAATAAAAAATGTAAAAAAAAGATTGAGGATGGTTGCAACACTTTTTTTTGGTTCTCCCAATTCCTTTCACAACCTGAACTGCAGCCTCACTTCGCTTCCTCAGTTTTTTTCTCAGTCTTCCCTATATATTTTTTTTTTTACTACCAAAGGATTCTCTTTTATATTAAAAGATAATAGAAAATTTGAATCTTACCCTTTAGAAACCAGAGAAGACCATTCAGGGTGAATGTAAATAGAGAAAACAGGGATGATTTGTTCCGTGTCACTGCTGACACCTAGGTCATGTTCGCCAAGAACAGCGCGCCACTTCACGAAGGACACACTGCAAAAGGTCATGTAGATAAACCAAAAAGAGGTAGAAAATCAGCATGCCTTTGCAGGTTTTACAAATTGATTAATCAGATATAAATTCAATTCAGCTTATTTATATAGCGCCATTTCACAACACATGTCATCTCAAGCACTTTACATTTCAACCAAATCAGACAATTTATTCAGAGTTTTCTATCTAGGGAAAACCGGTTGATTGCATCAACAATCAATAAATAACAATAAATGAGTAAATGAGAAGTTTCACAAAACTGCACACATTTAAAACAACCAAAACATATATTATTTAGATAACTCCAAGGTAACACTTTACAATAAGATACACAACATTTGATTAACTAGTAGAGCACCTTAGAGTACCGTGAGAGTACATATGTAGAGAAATAGTAATGAACTAATAGGTAGTTAACTAATACTTACTGGGGCAGACCCAGTTCAGCCTCATTACAGGATTACTGCTTAGTTTGCTTGGAAACACAGAGTAACTAATCAGTAACTAATGGGTAGTTAAGCAGTACTTATCAGGGTTCTATTGGTTCTTGACCTTAAAAGACCTTGGAGTAGAAATTCCTAGCGATGGTTTTGAATAAACCCTAAGCCTGTGAAGTCAGCTTATGAAAAACAACTTTACAGAGTACCAAATTATTGCAGAGCTTTTATTTTATGGAGTTCATTGAGTTAAGAATAAAATCAAGTAGTGACTAGGTGATTATTACTCAGTAAGTACCTGACCATTAACTAATGCTTTTTTGTGTACACTTAAGTGAAGTGAAACTATCCATAAGTACCTGCTTAGTTACTTTGCATTTCCAAGCTAACTAAGCAGTAGTCTTGTAATCCAAGCTGGGCTGGGTTTTCCCAGGTAAGAATTGGATAACTATCCATTAGTTCCTGATTAGATGCCTAGGCGCTCCCTCGTAGGTAATTGCATTTTGTGTAACTTGTTGTAAAGTGTTATCAAATCAGAAAACACAATCAAATCAAGTTTCGGGAGGTATTTGCACTAGCATTACCTTACCTCTTAATACATCTAGCAGAAGAGATGACCCAACGTCGCTGAATGAGGCTCCCTCCACAGTAGTGGTAGAAGCGAATATAGGAACTCCTATTGAAGAAAATTACTGCCATTAATTAGGTGTTTGTCGTTCAAATATAAGAGCAGGATTTCTTATTTTAACGCTCAGATAACGTTAGACTACGAAACATATTTGCCTTGAAATAAGACTTTCTCATTGCTCTTTCGGCACAGAAACAGGTGCAGCAAAAGAGAACATATGATGTGTAATTTTGCAAAATTCTTGTTTATCTAAACATTTTTGATAAATGTTTAGATAAACACGCAGAGAGCTTCATCCTTATATGTATAGCAAAATGCTCAAAGATTAAAAACACACGACAATGTGTCTGTAAAATAGTAAACCTTCCAAACATAATTGTTTGGCCCCATTTATTCTTCTACAGTAGAATAAAATAGAATAGAATAGAAGTATTAAAATAAACCTTACTGTGTGTATATTAAGGTTTGTCCATGAAAATGCAAAAAAGCAATATAAGCATTCAGATACATAGAAAAATTATAAATAGATTGTACAGGATAGGAAAGGCATCTAAAAAAGAAAGCACTGCAGTCATCAACCTCATCGTTGAGGTCTGCAAACAGCATATAAATGCATGAAATCAGAGCAAATTCAAAAGTTCCTGTAAATATAAAAAAAAATAGACTTGTAAACACAATTTAAGACTAACGAATAAAAAAATAGACTAGCAAACTCAAAGATTAGTTAATTTTTGAGTTTGCTGGTCTAACTCTCATTAGCAGCATTTTTTCTTTGCAAATGTTTTTTTTGTTTGTTTGTTTGTTATTCTAACTTTTGTGTTTGCTAGTCTCATTTAAAAATTATCTGTGAATTCATGCATTTGCTGGACATTTCCACCCCTCGACCACATACTGTAAGGGACCTACAGATTAAGGTTTGTCACTAAATGAGTGGGCAAAAGACCCTAGTCTATGCATTAAAAAACGAGTGAAAACTTTTTTAGCCTTAGAAACAAGTCTCAAACACATTTTTGCCAAAATTGTTCTAAAGAAAATAAAAAAGCTGTGTGATGTTTACAGAAAGATTAAGTTCAGCCCAAAGAGCGTGTGTGAAATCTGAGAACAACTTATTTACATGAGCCACATCAATATGCAGCATGAATTCAGGGTAAACACATATTGCTATGTTAGACTAAGCAACATGTTTATGTTGCTGAAACTATGTTTTGTTGAAGAGTCTCCATCATCTGAGTGTGAAAAAAAAGAAATATACAGATATTTCTAACAGCGGTAACTTACGCAAGGAGATGTTTGTACTGAAGAGAGACCTAAGGAGATAAAGCAGACCTGAGATAGGAAACTACTTCATAGCATAATTTAGGTCTCATTTGCATATACAGTATGGCTACAAATATTTATATTTATTTTATTCAGTGACAGTGAATGCATTTAAACCAGTTCTTACTGTCGACCATGCCTTACCTGCCAAGGCCAAGAGTTAGGGGTAGCGACCTCAGCCTTCAAACTCCAACTGGTTTTCTTAAGTTCAGCCAGAGCTATCAAAAACAAATTCACAAATGCTTTATTAGAAAGGACTGCTACATAATTATTCAAATATAAGATGGTCAAAAGACAAATATTATGAGCTGAGTAAATAAAACCCAGATAAAAAGTCACTACTACATTTTATTGTGTGCTGTCATTATCTTACCAAAGGCTGAAAGAATTGCTAAGAGCAGAAGTTTGAGCATCTTGGTGTCGTGTCAGACTGTTTTTAAAAAACCGAATGCTTCCCTCTGCCTTAAATACCTGTGGCCGTCCTTAAAAAGTGAACTTTGGTCTTATTTTTGACCTAACTTCCATTTCATTTCACCATACACCTGTGATCACAGTGAGTGATAACCACTTACTGCTATCAGAACACACCCACTTTGGTCACGAGCCACTGAGCAAACTAAGGAACAGGAGCTGCAGTGACTCAGAATCTGTAAAGTTTTTTTGGCTTTTACTTTACATCATCCTCAGTGGAAACACATCTAATACCCAGTTCAATTCAATTTCTTTATATAGAACTTATTCACAGCACATGTCATCTCAAGGCATTTTACAGAGACAATTAAACCAGATCAACAGATCTGCTTCAAAGTTTTCTACCTAAGGAAAACCAGCTGATTGCATCGACTCACTAATTGGACAAATCCCACACACTAACAAATACAGTGATACTACAATCACAACACATTTCCCACAAATGATTAGCCTCTGTCCAAAACAAAAGGTGCGGTTTCCCACAAATGCAATAACTATTGCATTTTTTATGTTTGTTTGGAAGTATATTACTTCCTGCAAATGCAATGATGCAATGTGTGATTGCTGTTGCCCACTCACCAATGTAGAGTACAGAGAAACAGACACTGATTAGGGCTTTTTAAGTGCTCCTTATTTGTAAGAACAGACAGTACAGGAAGGTGGAGGAAGACATTCAGCAGAGATCTCCAGTCCCTAGATTTTCCTATAGTGAGGGTGCTCTCCACCCCCATAGACATTATATATTATTCATTTGAGATTAAACTGATTTCAGATAATAAAGTAAAAAATCTCTGTGTTATTTTTGATCAGGAAAAAAAACAAAAACCTTTACTCTCTTTTGTAAATCACTTTACAACAAATTGTTCTCTATAGATCATAATACTCATCAAATCTTTAAAAGTACTGAATAATAATATACTACTAAAATATATAATATTTGTAAAACATGATCCTTATATTAATATAAAACTTTGTGTTTGTCATATTTAAAAGCAAAATATATAACTTTGCATTTATCTCATCCAATTTAAGTTCAGTTTAAATCGTTTTTTATCTGAATAAATATGTGAAATCTAACTGAAAGATCATTTCAAAACTTGTTTTGGTTTTTTAAGGGGTTGTGACATGTAAGAGATTATTGTAATATTATCTCTGACTTCTTTCATGTAACTAAAATGAGATCTAAGGCACCGCCTATTCATTCTGACTGCAGCTGTCTAAACTGCGGTCCGAACCAAGTTGACGGCCTTCTAGGCAAGTCGGCCAGCGTCCCATGAGGCGTCTACGTATATAATGTCTATGTCCACCCACACCTGCCACATTTCCTTAGTAGAAATCTGAAGTGGATGGATTTTGCAACTTGTGAATGTACAAGTTAAACAACTGGGTATTGCATCAAGGCCATAGTGGGAGATAAGACTTTATCACCTCTTACAACTGTGTCAGGAAAGCAGTGGCAATTTAAATAGATTTATAGCTGTGTCATCACCATAGGAAATTCCAGAACGTGTCCATTAACAGGATTTTTAATTACTTACAATAAATGTTTCCTCATTCTAAATGTTTCTTCTTTTTATATATATTGATTTAATATATATAAAACCATTGGAAATGTGTGATTTCTGATTTTGTTTTGTTTTATGCCACAGTGGGAATGTTTTATAGTGGCTCTCAGCCTATTATAGTAGAAGTCAGTTGAAAGTAGTAGTAGTAGTTGAAATTGTGATAGTAAACTTGCTTTCTTAAGCATTAGTGTTACCAGAGGCCCCAGGGTAATATTTCAGCAAGAGCTCATCTCAATACATCACAGAATCCTAATAACATACATATTTACTTATTTTTCTTTCATTGTATTACCTGCCAGAAATACTCCTTTTTTAAATGCATGCCAAACTTTTATGCCTTTCGGGCTGTATTCTCAATTAGGAGGGGTAAACATTTGCTTATCAACTACAGACTGTGTTATCAGTAAATTTTACATGTGGTTAATGTTTGATATGATTAATTAATACCAAGAAAACCTTCTACCAATATAGTAGAGCAAATATGATGAAAAGTCAGCTCTAATCCACCAGAGACACAGCACCAGGGCTATAGTGTACCTTTAAATGCAATTTTTTTTT